AGAAGACTCTTGAGAGTCCCCTGGACTGCTAGGAGGTCAAACCAGTCAATCTTAAAGGAAATCAACCCTGATTGCTGATTGGAAGGATCGATAATGAAGCTCAAGCTCAGATATTTTGGCCACCTAATGCGAAGAGAGATCTCTTTGGAGAAGACCCTGATGCTGGGAAAGATTGAAGGCAAAAGGAGAAGAGGACGGCAGAGGATGAGATGGTTAGATAGCATCACTGAAGCAATGAGCATGAAACTGAGCAAACTCAGGGAGGCAGTGAAGGACAGGAAGGCCTGGCGCAATATGGTTCATGGGGTCACGAAGAGTCGGACACGACTTAACGACTAAACAACAACAACAAAAATGTATTGAGGGGAGGTTCTTTTTGCTTTTTCAGCATAAGAGTCAAGAAAAGAGTAATTGCCTAATGTGTGTAAAAATGTGACAATCCAGGCAGGCTGGACAAAGAAGGCAATTGGCAGTTTATTTATTGTTGTTGTTGTTTAGTCGTTAAGTCGTGTCCGACTCTTCGTGACCCCATGAACCATATTGCGCCAGGCCTTCCTGTCCTTCACTGCCTCCCTGAGTTTGCTCAGTTTCATGCTCATTGCTTCAGTGATGCTATCTAACCATCTCATCCTCTGCCGTCCTCTTCTCCTTTTGCCTTCAATCTTTCCCAGCATCAGGGTCTTCTCCAAAGAGATCTCTCTTCGCATTAGGTGGCCAAAATATCTGAGCTTGAGCTTCATTATCGATCCTTCCAATGAGCAATCAGGGTTGATTTCCTTTAAGATTGACTGGTTTGACCTCCTAGCAGTCCAGGGGACTCTCAAGAGTCTTCTCCAGCACCACAGTTCAAAGGCATCAATTCTTCGGCGCTCGGCCTTTTTTATGGTCCAGCTCTCACAGCCAGTTTATTTATTACCTGAACACAGATATTGTTCATGAGCTGGAAGAAGGAGGATTAAGAATGGGATAATAAACATGATGTTCAGGAAGGGCTCAAGAGTTCAACCCCTGTTTTGCTTCTTCACCCAAAAGGGTTTGGGACTGAAAACTTCATTAAAACAACAGCGTTTTTTAAAATGTAGATTGAGATTTGACTGAGCCAACACCTTGCTGGCGATTGTTAAGAGAGTCTACACGTTTGCAAAAATATCTCATGACTGTTTTCTATGTATAATTCAGGATTCAGTACAGGGGGTGGGGGAATGTTAATAGTTTTTAAATCAGCCACAGTCCCAATGAAAATCATGCAAACACATAGACTGCTCATTGTGACACATCTCAGAAGGAAAAAAGCTTTTTTTTTATTGAGACATGGTACTTAAGGAAAGAGGAAGATGCTGCACCTGTTCTTCCCACGTATTGCAGTCCCTCCTTCTGGCAATAACTGCTATTCATTTTTTGAAGAACCTGAGATGATACAACTGTTATTTTGAATAAAAATCAGTCTTTTCAGCACCTTTTCTGACCAACAAATGTTTAATAAATTTATGCTACCAGACTCCTGACTTTTTGCCACTATAGACTAACATGGCTCTCCCCTCCCAAAAAAAATTGAATAAGTAACCCAGAAATGCTACCTGGATTTGACAAAGCAGGAAGTTTAGTAGGAAATGCCCAACAGGATAAGTTCACACATAGAACTTTGTTGTTGATTAGCAGATACACATTTGCAGAAGACACATTAAGTGCCAGAAACAGAACCTGCTCATATCAACTTCAATGCAAAAATTTTCAATGAAAAAATAATGAAATACTATGAGGAGTACCATTCTGCCACTTGTTCTCCCTTGTGAGACAACTGAAAGTTTAAGAACCTTTTTGTGACTTGCTGCAGCATATTTACATCTCACTTCCGGTCTTGCTTTCGTGGTATGGACGCTGCACAGTTTTCAAGCTCTTAAGCAGAAGCAGCAGCTAGCCCACAAGCTGCATGTGACTTGTGGAACCTTGGCAAGCTGCTTCTTGCCAGAGGCATCTGTGGAAGAGGAAAGGGGAAGAAGGGGAACATAAGCATTTCATGAGATGCCTCTGCTGTCCCCACCTCACCCAACAAAGGAGAGGAAAAAAAAAAAGATTAAAGCTTAGATTCGGCTGGATCTCTGCTGTTAAAGGATTTCTCTGCCCCGGTGAAAAGGAAGCAGATCCTTCCTCGTTCAAGCAAGGAATGAGAAGTACTTTCAAAGGTGCTTCTGCCCAGGCATGGGAGAAGATCACACTTTATGTCCTTTTCAGGTTCTAATACTTAAAAGTCTGAAGTGAAGGATAGAAAAGATGAGTACCTCAGGCACAGGGTTGTTAAGGACTGCAATTCAGCTTTCCAACACAGTACTCCCACATTTAGCCCTCGTGTGATCAGATTTCAGTCTCTCCGAAAGATTGAACACCTCTCATTAAAGCCATATTTGTTCTAACCTTGGCTTGACAAGCTGTAGTAGTATGGCTCCCATATAACATTAATTCATAAACCATCATTTGCAACCCACAACAGCTGGGTTCATCCATCACAACCAACCAAGCTAAGCAATCAACACTGTGGTTTAATGCATAATGGGCCAGGCTATTTTCTCCCCTCCATATACAGAAAAGACTCATCATCCACAAATGTCATCCAGACAGCTTTCTCCACTATGGTGACATATGATTTTAATTTAAGTCATGGACAACCCATGTCTGAGGGGTCAGAGCAGCATCCCAACTCCCAACTTTCTGGATAATCATAGGTGACTCTCTCGTGATGCTATGATGTCACTGAGAGAGCAGAGCCAACGATTTTGGCCCTTTTGTCTTTTGGAGGCTATACTAGGAATGGAGCAGTTTTGGGGACCCATCCCACCCTTAACCCCCCCCCCCGCAAACCCCACCTTCAAATGATCTGAAACTGTGCCTCTGAAATGTGGACATTTTAATACTGAATTTTAATGGTGAAGTCTGGGAGTGCTGGGGATCACATAGACCCTTTGAGCTGCAGAATGCTGTTGATTTTAATGGTAAAAAATCTTTCTATTCACAGTCTCCTATCATACATTAAGCAAACAGGCAAACAGCTGGACCATAAACAGCCAGCATATTGGCATCATTATTTTATGGCCTCAAAGAAATACTGTATCTATGAAATTGTTCTTCTTAACCTATCTTTTAGTTAAGAAAGAGTAAACTATACTTTCATTTCTTGTTAATAATGACAAAGTAGAAATTGTTTCCAAGTGTATTTCTTTATTCCTTTTCTAATATTGAGGCAATAATAATTTCAGAGTTATGAGTGAATTTAACTCATACGTTAAGTGAGTGAGTTGGATCTGAGTTTTTACAGAATTATCCTACCGCCACTAGAGTGCAGAAGCTGTCTGCTGAAGCTTAAAACTGATGTTTAAAGTGCTAGATAAAACAGATTGTATTCTTTTGTGTAGGAAGGGAAACCAAAATCTAGTTCCATTGAAAGATACCAATCCTTCTGTTTTATCATTTCCAGCAAGATTATAGTTTGGCTGCAAAAGGCTTTTCCTTCTCTTAGCTCACTTAACTTTCATTCCTGTCTGAGTAAATCAGTCATTGACATTTTCTTCCCCTACTGTACAGCAAGCATGCTTCACTCTTCAGTATCATTTGATTAAAATCCATTAAATTCAGTCATTTTTTAAAATCTGGAAACAAGAGTGAGGACAATCTCCTCTATTTCACAAGGAGTCAGTGACCAAGTCATTGTGATGTCAGATGCAACTTGGAGGACTGGCCAAACAAGTAATACAGTATCCTGCACAGCACCTAAATGGAAAGGTAGGTGGGTGTAAGGCTACAACAGGAAAGAGAATATAAACTGAATCATAGATCTTAGCAACCAACACAGCCAATGGGAATTTAGTTTAGTCCCAGTTGGAAGGCCATAAAGTTATCTGTCCCTAGAGTTCAAAGACGTTTCACCAACTAAACACCTTCGAATTGTATTGAAACTGCTCCCATAATTCCTAGAAAGCATGTCTCTTTTCTATGGTAGCTGAGTATCACGGGAATTGATGTTCACTACATTTGGAGGGCACCAAATTTAAGATGGCTGAAATATCTAGTAATTGCAAGATATATCATTTAACAGTTGCAAATATGATCATTTGGACAAACAGAGTTTGCAAGTGTGAACATGTTCTGCTTTTCTGCCATGAACTAAAGGAAATCAAAATATGTTTCATTGTTCACGATATGACCACTATATACAGAATGATTTAAATTTTCTCCATAACATCCAAATTCTGCTCAATCTAATGCACAATAGTAAAAAAGATCAGCACTACCACCACAAGTCCATTTTTTGTGATTGCTTATTTATGTAACTTCTGACAAATCAGATTCTTGTTTTTAATTAGAACCTCTGACCTATTGAAAAATGCAAAATCACTGCTTCTCCATTTTAAAAATCTTCCCTCTTTTTTAAGTTAAATGCTAAAATTCCTTATCAAACTTATTTGTCCAAACTTATTTAGTTTTCCAATGCAATCTGAAAATGTACTCAAATGTAAGTTGTTTGGTTTCAGAACCAGACCATTAAAATTGTCTGTTTTCAGGTCCTCTCCATAGCAGTTAAAGATGGAGGTGCACCCAAGAATGTTCTATTACAATGACGTACAAGATGGAACAGCCGTAGTAATAAAAGCCTTGGAATCTACTGATTCCCTTACTCCACTGCATATCCCTCCTGGCCCACCTGTGTTCCCAGAAAGGTAAAAATTCACTACTAACTGCTTTCATCTGTATCATCCATAGCTTCAATCTAGATTTTCAAATATTTATACAATGGGATGTATCTGCACCAATGCTAATATCAGGGCTTGGGCTGGTGTATTCTTGCTTCTTTGGGATAAGCATTGTTTAATTCTCTGTATTTGGAATAATAGTTACCCTTGTATGGATTGTATTAATTATTTGTGAAAATGTCATTTGAAAGGTTAATTGTGCTAAACGGAAGGTCATGTTCTTCACCATCACCGACATCAAATGATGCATACCTTTTATAATTAATCCTGTAGGACAAAGAGGTAATGGCGTCAGCTCACCAACTGGAAAGCCAAAGACATACACGATTTTTAAAACACTTCTCTTGCTTTCATTCTACTCGCTGCAATAATATTTACATTTGGTTCAGAACAAAGTTCACCAAAGCCAGCTAGTCAGGCAGCTGTCAAAAAGGCAAGATGGTGGTTGTGGCTGTGCAGTCAAAACCCAGCCCTTTTTATATGAGCATCAATATCAACTATATATACAGTAGGGCAGGGTTTTGATCATGCTGCCTTGACCAAGATCTTATCTATGTTTACTTCCCTCCAGCCCCTGCAGAAACCAGTGGCTAACATGCTAGGATCAACACTGTTCAAATAGTCTCAGCATAGGAAATGTAAAAAGAAACTTCATACACATCTAGAATGCTTAAACTTGAAAGAGAGGTAGTTTCTAGTGGCCCCAACAACCTGTTATTCTAGAGTTGGTTAGACATATTGGTTTGCTATGAGCTTTTCATCTAGTTTGTTGGAATGGAAGAGACCAGAAATACTGACAAGTATTAAATAACACTCTTTCTAGAAGCCTGATGTGGTCATTTACAGTGGAGTTATGAAATTAGGCTGAAGGCTATTGTTTACCTACAGAGTATGGACAATGAGAGAATTTCAGATATTGCTAAACTTCAGTTACTGTAGGTTCACACAGTACAGTAAATCATAACATGGTTTGTGGAGTCCTTGGGGTTCTCTGAGCTCTCTGAGCTTGGTTGTTTTCTTGCAAACGTTTCGTTACCTGGCTAGGTAACATCTTCAGT